AAGCGGTCAACATGTGATCACGTGATGTGGATTCCGTTATTGAGGGATTAGATTTTGCCTATATATAAGCCAATCACACTACTGATCAACCGCATGTGGCCGAACTCCTAGCAGGGACATCGCGGATTCTAATCTCTGAAGTTTCTTGAGATGCGCACTGCTGCTGATTCTCAGTAAGGGTCAAAGGTGCAAATTTAAGAAGCCAAACCTATGGAAAAATTCGGGATTAATCATGGTGCGCTTTGGCGTTAGTAACACAGGTGGTGGACAGTGTACGCGGTCAACCCCGGGAGGTATCACCGGCTAACCTATAATAGCCTTGTGTGGTTCGCCACTCTAAGCGTCTGTGTTAGGATGCCAGCAAAAAAGCTTAAAATGTACATGACTTGTGCTACGTTTGTCCATCTCCAAACAGCAGTGACGTGTCTGTTTCCTTCTCTTTGTTGAACAATAAATTTAAACATATAGTTTTCAGCCAACAGGAGTTTGTATCGTTGATAAATCTAAAAACTCTAAACAGTAACAAACGGGTCCCGCTTACTTTCCACACATCTTGTGTGCCATGTGACTAAGTCCTTTCCATCAACGACTCCACTGTGACACTGTCCAAACTATCGGTCCCCTTTTAACAACTCATCGATGAGAATATGCTGTGACTAGTAATTTCTTGGTTCTTTTGATCACTAGCTGATCAATTTTTCTGCGCATTTTCTCTCCCAAATACCCCATCCTCCATCCTCTATCGATCTGGTAGTGCTCTCCTGTTGACTGGGATGGCATACGTCAATTTTTTTTAGCAAATCTCTTAGGAAACTGTTTTTTGGAAGATCCCTCAGTTTTTTGCGGAAAAAAAACTTACGACTGCCCCGTCTGATGGCATGAGTCAATTCATCCATTTTTTCAAACCAGGGAAGCGCCCTTTCCCAAAACATGCGTGCCTGCAGGTTGAAAAGAAAAAAGTAGAATGCACGGAAGTTGATCGATGCACGCTTGCCCCTGACTGTGACTGTGTTGCTGAACCTGATACTTGCTCATCGATAATCGACAGTGTCGGACAATGATGCAGTGCACGAAAGTCATGTCAGCGAACCAAAGTGCTAACCAACCAGAAGTCGTTCGTTTTGACATCTGGTAAGAGTTCGGTGGCAAGTTTTCTTCCTCACACTTTCCCGCATTTGACAAATTTGAAGATTTAAAGCAACGTGCCGGCCTGATCATTTTGAACAATGTAGTTAGAACGACAATGTTGCGGAATGACTTCGTTCTTTCTTAAGGCGGAACGTTGAAAATATTACAAGATACACTAGGCAATACGGCTTACATTATTTATATAATTCTAATACAACACGACCAATCAATAACACAAAGCTAGCGTTTTCTAGTTCGTTCTGAGTGCAGAGGAGAGGCTCTGAGCAATCGACCAACGTGACCTCAATGAACTTCGATCTTCGTGGCTTTTAATATTTGTTTTAAGGCTTTTTCTCTGTGCTCAGACCTGATAGTCGCTCTAGTCCTGCCTGGTTCTATTGATTGTTTTGGACTTACATATATATAGTTAGCTGCTCTGTATCATATACCTTACGCACCAATTTTGGCGCTTGCTTCATGAAGGAAGAGAGTGTGTGAAACCCAGCAACCATTCTGCTTTCTTCACATCTGGAAATCCAAAACGCTCTCCATAGATAACCTCCTTTAAATAGCTCCAAAACGCATTTGTCCATCTTTACTTACTGGCAGTGAACAAATCCATCTGTATTTTTTAATTCTCAAAAGTGGCTCCTGCTCTGACCCGAAAAAACCATCGATTCTTTTCCGCCACTCCCATTTTGCTCAAAGTTATTTACGCAGATTGGAAAAACCATTCTTCTGCGGTCTCGAGGACAAGGTTGCTCTGGGTACCCAACAACAGGAGCTTCAGTTACAACACCGATGACATGTCACACGCTTTTTTCTCCTCTCTGGACTCTTTCGACGAAACGAATGTAGGCACCATCGGCGAAATACATTCATTTGCAAACAAATTTGGTTCTGCGAGAGATCTACTTGAAATCAAGCTGATTTTTCTCGTTTGTGATGCTTCCAGGCAATTGAATGTGCTGCACCAGGCCACCTCTTGTTTCAGTTGCTATGATATTCGAGATATCGCGATACATGTATATTCGTGATGTAGTACTCATCGATTTATCACAGTGAAATGACCGGTTTAGGCTTCCTGATCCACCTACTAACCTCACACGCGGGCTGAGACTGGATATGACTACCTAAGTTTCATCACCGTTCTACGCAATTAAGAACGAAAGGCTTTATTTCACGGACGTAAAAAGCAGTGATGGAGTTCTCATTGGTCTCGCACTCCTTCCCACACCATTTCTTCCTTTCGTGAACTATTTCTTGTCCTCCAACCTCTTTTACCCATGCCTTTTAAAAAAGAAACCAATCTGCACTTCTATGCATTCGCCCTTTTCCAGTTCATTTGGATCCTGACTTAGATTTTTGATGGCCCTGCTCCTATTCCCCATTTCTTCTCGTTCATCCTTCTTGGTACATCTTTTACTGGCAAATTATCTTGGTTCTCTTAAGACAAATTCTCCAATTTTATAAATCGCAAATCCATCCTACCCAAAGCTACCACTGTCAACTTTGGAACTCCTTTCTTCTACTCAAATCTCTTTGGATTCATTCGACGTAAAATTGTACGGCTTATCGAATCTCCTTCGCTGGTTGCTAACCAACAAACACTCTCACCTTCGCGACTGTTGCTCTATTCTGTAGTTATTATGGGGGAAGGTGTTCACTGGTGCATGTTTCTTCTTACCCTTTATTGTCAGTCATTCAAATCAAGTCATCAGTACATGTTGTCTCTTCTCACCCTCTTTTTATGAGATCACATATGTGCATATTACTTTCGTCCTAACTGACTGTCACCATGAGCTACTTACGAGACGATCAATCACACCTGTAGAAGAAATCAGTGAGCATAACATAGCTACCAGTGTCATCCTTCTGCGGGTATCTTTTAGACGCAAGACGAGTGGAGATTGCCGCAGCTACACCATCAGCCGGATTCTCGTAGAATGTACCGACTGTTTAGATCATACACGAGGGTTGACCTACATCTGATAGGTTAGCGATTTCGGATGCACCAAAAGGTTGACCGCAGTTTTATGAGTCTGCCACAAACGGCATTGTCAGGAGAACCTCTTGCTGTACGAGAGAGTATGCATGTTGGCCACCCGCCCGTCCGATGTAATCAGATTGTGGTGAAAGTTGGGAAACTCAGGCCAAATGTAGGAGCAGTTCGCAGGCCGTCTGAATCCCGGCCGAATGTTTCGTTTATGCTATTCGTTAAACGATTGTGTGCTTACCCGATGAGTCCAAAGAAGGGCGAAACTGACAGTGGCAGTCGAAAATTTTTCAGGAACGTTGTAAGTAGTGTTTTAGAGGAAAAATTCCTCAATTACACATTCATCACTTATTGTCAGGAAGCTCAGATTCCTGAAAATAGTCCCGCAATACCCGAAACCAACCGAGACACTCAAATCACACCAAAATCGCAGTAGGGAAGCAGTCAAGCGTTCAGACTGGAAAGGCCCGTTTCCGAAGGAAGGCCCAGACTGTCAATCAATAAAGCAATGTCCGACGAATGTTAAGGCACGTTGCAGGAGCACGGCCGACGATGTTAAGTGTTCAGACATTCCATAGAAGAATAGCAGATGATGATGGGTGTTCGCCGACCGGATCATTGTCAAAAATCCTCTTTAAATACCATGAGACCCCCTTGTAACGTCTGCACTTGCTTGTTCGCAGGAAAGTTGTTGTGTTCCTTGTTGGCGGATCTGTTTCCGACCCTGGAGCGGAGACAGCAGTTAGATACCACAATTGTGCAGCGCATAACAACCCTTTTGGTACTAAAAGACCGACCTGATGTGGTTTAATAGGTCCCACATTTATGAATAATAACATAATCTGCAAAGACAGTCGTCTCAGTAGCTCTGACTCATTTTAGAGGCATCCACTGGAATACTGAGCTGCTCAACGGTACTTTCTATTCATAGGCTGAGAGGTCACTACCTATAATTCTTTGCATCCCCATATGATACAATGAAGTTCGTGAACCCGTCATAGCATTGCACTTTCCATGTGAGCTGAACTTGAAGTCGAACGTGATTATTTTGTGCGACCAGTGTTCCAATTGCCTGTTTCCTAAATGCCCGATGACTATGCTATGTGTTGTTCTCAACTTTACTTGTATACGTAGCTGCCAGAATCACACAAACCCGGGATTTCGTTGTCACTTCACCTTTGTGTAGATTTTTTGCTCGGTCTTCATTGCGCATTTTCTGAAGTTTCCCAAATCACTGTTTAAGTTCGCAACCATCACAATGGATGAGGCCTTGACTGCACATTCGTGAACTAGAGTAACGATGTTTCTCGCTTACCTGGCTCTCAACAACCCATTCAAGCGAAGCACGAAAGGAGGAAGACACCTCAAGGCAAAAACTATGCTACACGTCGCACAACCGGTGAAGCGCCGCAGGCACGTCAACCTGTCTCGTGTTCGTGTGCCATGTTTCGTAATTCATGTTCGCCTTCACAACGTCGAAGGATTATTCGTTGAGCTTGCCTACGTAGTCAGACCTATTCATTAGAAGAGTTCTTATCCTCTGATCAAGCCTGAACCACGCCCTCACAACCGGTTTTACGGAGCACTACGGTACTACACTTTCAGTCGATAGAACCGGGGGACTGTGAAGCAATTATGTTCAGCATTCCGAAGTTATGAACGAAAGTCCGGTGCTCGCCTCTGCTTGTGCTATCCAGGCCAGCGATAGGCACTCTATGGAGAACGGTGATGGCGGGCACGAAACCGCGTTACCGCTCCAACCGATGCACCAAACCAGAAATCTCGCGAATACATTGTGCCGTATACCATCCGGACTAATAAACGAACGCATCCCATGTGTCCTGCCGTATAACCAAAGTAAATATAGAAAAGACCGACAGCCAGTTCGCGATTATATTTAGAAGTCAAGAAATGCAAAGTTCAAAGCAGTCTTCCTTCATGGCGTTATCCAAAATAGCCGAGTAGGAAAAACAAAGTGTGCCACAAACCAACATAATCAACTCACATACAATAACAATGGGGAAATCAAGGTCATGCTTAGGCACACGCTAAGCATTCGGCCAGCTCTTCGAGGTCCAACTTCCCATCCTTATCCTTGTCGTGTTTGTCAATAAATTTCTGGACGATGTCCTTATCCAATGTGGTCCCTCGTCCTTGTTCAAGGAATTCTTTCAGCTCGTCCACACTGACTTTTTTGTCATTATTTTTGTCCAAAACGGAGAGGAGTTCTAGCATTTCTGCTTTCCTAAAGGTTGCATAACACTCGAAATCAGTTTCTATCTGACGTTCATCAGTGAATAAAGCAGAGGAATTAAAAATGAAACAACAAATCACTGATTTCTTGTAGAGCATAACATTATGGCATTTGTAAACAGTGTGAGAAAGTACGAATACTTACTTTGCCGGGCAACACATGTTGAGGTGTTTGTTGTCGCTCTGTAGTAAGGAAAAGGTGAAAGTTACTGATTCTAGTCACGGAAGACTCTCGACCAAGGGGACCAAACGAACCCACCTGAATGAAACTGGACGCTCAGCAAGTCACTCGCCTATTTGTTTGCAGCAGGCAGCCAATCATTTGGACGCCCCAAAATCGAATCACGTGCGACGAATAAGCATGTCTGGACTTGCTTTTGTCGGTTAGTTTTTATCAAGGTCACTTGTCAGACGGACAGATCATTGACCAATTAAATTGTCGGATTTTAAGGGCCAATCAGAATGATCAAGTGAGTTTCATTTTACACCCCGATATTGATTGGCGGGTTTAATCAGGTCCAACGGAAACCCCGCCTGCATTCGAATTTTGGGTTAGTGTGGCAGCGCCGTCTGGAGGAAGCCTTCGTCAAGCTACTCCGTTTACGCTGTGCCTGGGGTTGTGCGAACCTGAAAATCTGGCACACGTTCAGCTTCTTTGTCTGTTTTATGTGCGCCATTCGAGTATCGCTTCACTCCATAGCTAGTAGTCGGTCGGCAGTACATATTGTTACAAAATTGCGTAACAATCCTCTACCTTCAAGCACACTTGCAATTTCTCATCTTTACCTAAGAAGAAAAAAATGCACAAAATTTTAGCTCGTGTAAGTTCAAGGGGGTGTGAAATCTACCCGAAAACTAGGTGTCTAAGATGGAATTAATTCGTAGCTCAAATATTCGAATTCAGAGTGGTTTCTTAGGGGCTGATAAACTGGTTCGACTCAGAAAAATGGACCACAATTGTATTGTTTGTCTTCGTATCTTGTGGTAGCTTCCCTGGGAGACTGTGATAACGCGAAGTTCAGCCTAACCAAGATTTCGTGCTATAAGCTAATCAATGACGAAAAGTGGAGTTGTACTGTGCAGCCATTTTGCTTTTATTGGGAATCATCAGCAATGTCCCACTCATGAAATTTCAGAAACGTTCGAACCTACGACCTCCAGGCTAGTAGTTGAATACTTGGCCTTTCGTTCACGTTATTATTTCATACTTGGACAGGACATAGCACCGAACACCCTTATGGCATCAACATACCATTTTATCCTAAGCTTCTAGACTGTCATTTACCACAAGTTGTTTTTTTTCAAATTTAGGACTTGTGAATCCATTTAGTCCGGACAGTAAATGTTTAATCCCTAACCAACTGACACCGAAGCTATGAATATTCCGATACCCTACCAATGTCCTGATCTGTAGGCAGAATACGAGAGAGATCAACACTTTCGACAGGAAATACCTTCGGATGTGGGGTAGTTTGACGCCCCATCCGGAAAAGAACTCCATGTGACAGAAAAACAGACCTGTCTGAATAAAACTCCACAAGCTGAAGTAGGTTTTCGAACGGGGTGTACAAAGCGGTTCGTCTCCCGTTCTGTCTGAACTGGCTTAACAAATCCAGGTAGTAGGAAGTCACTGTGAAGCTTTGTCGAACTTATATCCCAATGTCAGTGTCACATGCTTTCCATCTTGTTAGAGCGCGTCGAGTTGTAGAACTGGCCAGCCGTCAACAAGCTGATCAGAGCTGTATATCAACCATCAATTTGGTGAGCCAGGTAGTGATATTCTCCAGTAATCTTCAGTTCAGTACTGTGCAATGCGGCAATTCAGTCTTCACGTAAAATGGCTCTATGTAAGTTTAGGATGGCTGTTTAGAAGAAACATAACTCTAAAGGCTAAATTCAGCTAATTCCTTCAAGTATATTTTTGTGGCTGGGGTGTCTACCAAAACGTCCAAGTTTTCCGAGTGAGGCCACCCCTGTTTTTTCAGCTTGGAGTAAATAACCTGTGAGAGTAGAACATCTCCGCTTTCTGTAGAGGCACGTGGAAATCAGATAACAGCTTCAGAAATCCTCGTTAGCATAGGAACATTTGGATCGATTAGTCTATTCAACCACTAACAGGAGACTAGAAGATTCGATCAGGAATTATACTTTGCACAAACGATCGATGCGAATGTGCACAGGAAACACAACTCCACGAATCGAGTCGGAGGTTGGGACAATCCAAATAAATCTGGTGGCCGAATAACTGCAACGACGTTTCTAATTGCCAGTCTCACGTAAATTCGCTGGTAAAAAGCAAGTTTAGACATTCATGGTGCATATTATGTCGTTTTGTTGCATCGACTTTTGTCTTAAGATGGATCAGTTCAAATTTCTATCAACTTTTTGTGATCGGAATTAACTGATGCAACGAAAGCACCACAGACAATGTTCTGAAGGCCCAACGTTGTACTTTCGGAAGCAAAAAACATCAATAACTGGTAAATTGCTTCTCAAGCAGGGACGATTTGGTTAACACGGAACTTCTCCTGTTGTAAGCGTTTCCCTATGTGGACCGTAAACTTCAAGGGCCGAAGTGATGACACTTCCCGAGCCCTTTTTTCCGATTGGCTGATTTTCCCCCGAGAATGAAAATCTCCCAGGCGGAACATGTTACTCAAATGGTTGCCTGAAACACTTCAACACCCGACGAGCGGATTGTTAAGTCTTTGTCTGATAGGCGTGATCCCAGAGTTGCCATCATGATCCAACTGAATCCAAGCTGTACGAAATTTGCAAACTACGCCGATTTGTGCATTAATTTGATTTTAAAGAGAGATTCAAGTAAATATTTGTAATGTACTACTCATGAGGTTGCTGAAAATCCATCGACAGCCCTTCTTGGGGCACATCAGGTAGGCGCAGTCCCCGGGTTTCTGGGGACTTGAAACCTACTTGAAACCGAATTGTACGAAATTAGCGAATATACACTCATCTACAAACTAATTTGGTGAGTCTCTCGAAAGAACCAAATTAGTTTGCAGGTGAGAGATTCAAGTGAATTTCAATGTTAAATGCTGCTAGCAAACCCACACCTTTCGCTTGGAAACCAGCCAGTCGACGTGGGCAGTTGTATAAGTAGCTGGAATCAAGAATACTTTCCGAATCGGAAAGGCCATGGTAGCTTTTGTCAACCTGCGGCGTTTACGGCACTGACGTGGCATTAGTTTGTCTATCCGCAAACCGGCCTGGAAGGGTGCCCCTATAGGATGAGGTGCCCAATGTCCACCTTTCGTTTCCGTCTGATGGTGCGATAGCTCAAGTATCTTGGTGGCACAAGTAAAAACAGTTTGAACATGCTGGCCTTCTAGCATCAGAGGGGATAATAAGTGTGACAAGAACAGACGTGAAGACCGAATCCACGACAAAGTAGGTTGCAACAATTGAAAATCAATAAACATGCAGACGATGTGGGCAAATGAATGATAAGGCATATTCGGCTGTCAGATTTGATTCACTCTGTTTCAAGACCCTCTGAAACGAGGCCATCCCTCTAAATGAAATCAATTTAGTGTAGAATCTCTTCCGAAGAGAAACCGGGTAGCCCAGTAATCTAAATCGCTTGGTTCCATTTTTTGACCATTCGGGTTCCAGTCCGTGCATGTATGCCCCAAACTTAGTTGCCGGCCCTATTCATGACAGTTGCGTACGACACTGGTTGTTTCACCGACAAACTACGAAAAGAAGATGCCGAGATGTCCTTTTGTTCAAGCCCTCCACCGTCATTTCTCTATTAAGGGTGGAACTACTTTCAGTAAACTTTTTTTAAATTTGGCATCTAAGTGCACATTTTGCGGGATCCGCCAGAAAGAGTTTTTCTCAAACCGTGCTCTTACATGAGTGATGTTCTAGTCGTGAAGCTACGATACACTTTTTCTTTCGATACTACTCTACTCTACTCTACTCTACTCTACTCTACTCTACTCTACTCTACTCTACTCTACTCTACTCTACTCTACTCTACTCTACTCTACTCTACTCTACTCTACTCTACTCTACTCTACTCTACTCTACTCTACTCCAATCCAATCCACTCTACTCCACTCTACTCTACTCTACTATACCATACTATACTATACAGCGACGTAGGAAACCTACTCAACCTCGGAGAAACGCAATAAGCATCCCCATTCGGTTTACGATCGTCTGGTTTGTTCCTATCGGAAACAGAAAAAATCCGGTTGATGGAGTCAATACTGAGTGTATCTGGAACGATTATTGCGTACTGGTTATTTGGTGTTACCCGGCGTTTGGCCAATATCGTTCAGCTGTAACACTCCTTCGGTGCCTAGCTACTATACCAGCAGAAGGAAGCACGAGGGTCAAGCCCAAGCCTAGACAAGAGTTGGAAGTCATTGACAGTGCACATCTCGCCCTGGAGATCTTCCGGAGCGGACATGCGGCTACAAGGGGATAACTTACATCTAAACAACAAACAGCTACGTTGACCTCGCAATTCAAATCAATTGGGAATGACTCCTCAAGCAATGAGATCAAAATATCCTAATTTCTAAGAAAATCAAACTCGAAAAAGCTTCCGACTATACTCCTCAAAATCTAGGATTGAGTCTTTTCTCTTCGGTTGTTGACCACGTTTTCGGCTTCGGCCACGTTTCGATCAGTAGGTGTTCAACATTTACGTTGTAAAAACACACGCGAGGTCAGTCACACCCATTGGATTTGTGGAAAAACGGATCAATAAACTAGAAACACCACTCCAACCTCGTCCATTTTGACGGTCGATTTGTAACAAAACCCTATAGCTGATTTCATTCGAACCTGGTTGGCCATCAAACTGAGGTGTAGTGAAAATGTTGACCGTACACCTCTGATATTCGTTCGGCGGCGGCGGGGGGTGGGTATATTGTTTACACAGGCACTGTTTACCATGCAGCCGGGACTAAACTACACGCTTATTCGTTTGTTTCCATCCACAAGCTCCGCTGGATGAAATTAACGGACTGCGTGACTGGACAGGTGTGTGTGGATTGAGACAATGACGAGGTTGACAGCCAGTGTACCCGCGTTGATGTCCTACTCTGGAGAGGTTGATGGTTGATTGTCACTACTGGTTTACATTTAACATTTGAAGCAGAACTGTGCAGATCTATGTAAGAATACGTGCGTCCATATATTGGAACTCTAGACAAGGCTATCCGGCCCTGATTAACGCGTTCTCAGCCTAAGTTTATCATGTAAACTTACATCAATGATAAAATTAAACAAGTCCATTTTCGTGCGGTATTCAACACTAAGCTGAATTTTAAAAAAATGGCCGGATAGTCGATTGCCGGTTGCCGTATCCAGGGTGGTGAAATCAGTCAATGTCCATAGTTTGCCCTTCGTTATTTTCTAGCGGCAACACACTACTTATGAAGTCGCTGCAATCTCTTCCACAGCCCACGACCGGTTTCGTCCTGTTTGGGGCTCATCAGGTAGGTACATTCCTCGTCACACTGTTCTACTTGAACCCAAACTGGGCAAATTGCAACAAATACACTCAAATACGCACGAATTTCGTTTTGACAGGAGACTCAACTGATACCAGTTGAATCTCTCGTTTGTGGCTGTCCACTTTGACTGATACGATATTCCAGATATCGCGATACGTTGTTGCCTAGCGGTAACACATTAGTCGCAGCATATTCAGTTGAAGCGCGCTATCATAAACGAGAGAGTCAGTTGGATTGACTTGAGTCGCCTGTCAAAACTAAAGGAGAGTTCAAGATAGGGTTACATGAGCAAATCTACTGAGACAGAGCCTATCGGCCAACATAGGCTGGGTCTATAGTTTCCTGGGACAAAATTAGGACATGTCAACCGAACAAGACATTCGTTTATCCTAATATCTGCAAAAATTGTTTTGGTGATGCAACCAACCTAGTGTCCTGCCTCAAACCATCCAGGATAAAGTCGCCTAAGAGAGCCTACTTTCAAGGAGATTCCAAGGTTTCATAATTATTCGCATTATGGGTGTAACGCGGGAACGGTATCTTCGAGTGGTGCGTAATAGCAGAACCTCCGGGAAGGCAAAACAAAGTCGGAGTTGGGTTTCTATACGGTACTATTAGGGTAAGAGAAATTCACAAATTATACAAACCTCGACAGTAGATACTCGTCCAAAACAAATGCTCCACTTGGACTACAAAAGTACAAACTTAGGGAGCGAACAGGCTCCCACGTGAGACAGTCACGCGTGCACAAAGTCGGCCACAAATGGCCGGATGACCTCAAGGCCAAATGAGTGAATTGGTAAGGACAAAGAAAACGCCAGTTCATGTACACGCACTGAACACAAAAGTGGGGCGGGGTTACAAATGACGAGAGAATAAACGTGGGGAATTTCCAGTGTCAACGTAATGGACGATACAACGAGAGATAGGGGGCCCCAAGAATGTGGTGAATCCTGGAAGAATGTGACCCGTCTGTCATAGTAGAAAAGTATGCACGGATAACAGGAGCTCTGTTGGTTTCTTTTGGTACCGAGGCAACTGTTAGGCATTGGGGTTTGGCAGCTAACTCCTCTGCGTGTGTGTGTACACGCCGATCGACTCTGTCATTCAGTGGCAACACCCCTCCGGTGCATAGCTGCCATGCCACCCGAAGGAAGCACGAGGGTTGGGGTACTGCCAGGTTGCCCAAGCCTAGACAGGGGAAATCGAGAGACCGAGGTCGGGTTCGAACCACCTGGGCGTCTCGACTTCCCCTGTCTAGGCTTGGGCAACTTGGCAGTACCCCAGCCCCCGTGCTTCCTTCGGTTGGCATGGCAGCTATGCACTGAAGGGGTGTTGCAGCTGAACGACCGAAGACCAACCAGATTATTCTACTCTAGGCGACGTAACTTTTGTTGATCAACTCCAATCACCTTTCTTTATTACCGTCCAGCACATCAATAATTTACGGTGTCGTAGGATAGTAATGCGATCCCGTTACGTCTGAAGTGAGGGTAAAGCGTGGTGGAACATCGTTGTTTCAAAGCTGAGAACATTGGCCAGCTTCCTTGTTGACCTTCGGCCGCCCACCTGATCCTGTCGAATGCGCTTCTTGTGCTCACCAATCAACCAATCGCTGCGACTCGAATGGACAAAAAGCAAGTTTTCCTAATGACTGAAAAGTTGCGAATCTTGTATAAATAAATCAAGTTAAAAACAACTTGCTTCACATACACAAGCTGTGGCAACGTTGAAACGCAGGTGGGAGGTCTCATTTAAAAACCAGGAAGCATAAACTTCAACAATGGAGCGTGCAAGTTGACAGCATCAGAATTTCTCTAGCGAATGAGGCGTGCATACCAATAGTCTGTCGAACAAGAGGTTTGTGTTGTGAGACCAGACAGTGGAAATCGATGCAAGAGGTATACAAGCCGAATTTTACTGTGCCCTTAGGCTTAAAACCTCACGCATCCTTGGAGAGTGCGCTTCCAAGGAGCATGCGAGTTTGGATGGTCCTGAAAATGCGTGTTCCTTTGAAAGAGCCATGCATTTGGCAGTGAGAAATGCAAAATACAAACAAATGAATCACGAAACGACATCCTCACACAGCGTCCCCAATTCCACAGATCTTGCATGGTTGTATCCACATGTAGATTGGTGACTCGGGTCCGCCCAAACAACTTTTGAGGATGTCTCTCGTGAAAACCAGATTGATTTGCAAATGAGTGTATTTCTCGAAAACAGACCGATTTGGGTTCAAATAGAACATGAGGTTGACGGAAACTCGGGGACTGCGCCTACCTGATGAGCCCCAAGAAGGGCTGTCGAAGAGTTTTCAGCAACCTTGTGAGTAGTTTCCTTTATGAAACTTCTTAGGATGTCGCGGCAGCACGGAAAGTCAAAATGCAGCGTGGCGGAACAAGATGTTCCGGTTGCCGTGGCCGACCTTCTTCAAGGGTTTCTACAGTCAGTTGATTGCTAATCCAGTGCAGCGTTTTTTGGGTGCGTCATGCCTACTGATTAGTGTGTGTGTTCCTGAGATTGGCTAGCAGCCAGTGACCAACACGGTGTGTGCGTGCACGCGTGGATGTGTGTGTGTGTGTACTTTGACTGGAATGTGCCTCCGCTTGTTGTTTACTGGCTACGGTGCGTCACTGTTGGGCTTCCTTCTTGACGTCTGAACAGTATGCCTACTAAGGCATGTAGTAAGTCCAAGTCAGACGGGTGGGATGCCGCCTCCACTGCCAAGGTGGACGCCAATTCTTTGTGATGAACTCTGGTACTTCAGCCCCCGCCCGTTATACGGGTGAATTGAATCCTGACTGAAGTATACGGTCTACGATCGAAGTCAATTTGATGGCTTCACTCAAGTGCGTGGAGTGCAATGGCTGAGTAGCGTCTGAGTGTTTCGAACTCCGTTGGATTTCGTGGAGTAAACCGCGCATGTTATTTGTGATCAAAATTCTGCGCAGGGAATTTGGCAGAGGTAGTTTGTGGGTCCCTTGGCCCTCACAAAAAGTAGCTGAAAGGTGTGATCACTTAAGAAGACTGTATTAATATCATAATCGCGAAGTACCCCTGGAATGGCACCTGGAATGCCAGTTCTATAGAGCATCTCCACGGAGACCACTGGGTTTTCGTCTCCCTTTCTCATTGTTACAGGTAGCGTACTCACCATTTGCTGGGAAATGAACCATATTGAGTATTTATTTTGTTGTGATAACCTACTGGTTCGTTCCAGTTCATCCGCTCGTATGGCCTCACCCGAACATGGTTACTTGAAATGACTCACAACGATCCGACAACTACGCGCGTGTGTGAATGCGAAGCAAGTAACTGTCTGAATCAATCGGAAAAATTTTGGAACCGACCGAGAAGTCATCGTTTCAGAGGGGCTTGGTAAAACTACCGATTGTTTACCAAGCTCTTCTGAAACGATACCTGTCTGGGTTTGAACTTTCTGTGGATTCTCACCGAGAATCCATAGTTGGTATTAGCAGACCAGGAAACTTATAGCTTGTCGTTCGCTCTCAGTTTCCATTGTGAATTTTAGACTACTGCATTGTTGGTTTAGATAGTTTGGGAAGGCCTGTCGCTGTGTGGCTGACATAATCACAAATAGGACGTCGATGTACCTCACTCAGGTGCATAGTGGATGGACGAAGTCACGCAAGACCTGGGTTTAAACATAGTGCAAAGATTAGCCACTACGAGTGAAACTGGAGTACTCAGAGCGATACCGTCAGTCTCTCCACTGAGTGCAATACGTGAGGCTTAGAATGCCCAACATGAGTCTTCCAATTGACAGACTACTAGGCTTTTGCTAGTAGTAAAAAAAATCATACTGTAAAACCGGACTAAAGCCGATATTCAGACGAATCGTTTGTGGTGTCCTTTTTTCTCTCTAGCTATCATCGTTTGTCACCAAGTTACGAGATGGGCGTTCTACTCGGGGTGGAATTCATAATGCTCTGGATGCAATCGTCTGATGGCTGTCTCACTGTACAATCCGATAAGGAGCGATATATTGCGGTTTATGTGTGAGCTTAGCTGGTCCCCGATTCCTCCCCTATTGTCTACTGATCACAGCGTTGTTTTGTGTAAGTTTCAAACTACTCATAAGCAGTATAGAATAAACGAAGCAAACTGCACTGCGGCCAGACATCTAATAGGATCTGTGGTATGGTTCTCATTTTTCATACGTCTGATTGCTTGATGATCGAACGTGTAATGGCATACACAATCCACGTTAGAAAGATTAGGAGATGTATCAACGAACAAACGTTTACGATAATCCCTCATCAGTCAATATAATTACGAATTCAAACGGTGGTAAGCAATCAGTTGTTGCATAGCGATCGGCCTAAAAGTCCATAACAGGAATACATAGAGTCGGTAGGCGTCACATGGCATTGTTGGGTTGTGTCTACGTAGGAACGCTGAGACTTTTTAGGGACATGTCAAGTGTGATGTTCGCAAATATCGCTTTTGGTTGACACAGTTACAGAGAAACTGAAAAGTCATCGGATTCGACAGTCACTCAGCAGTTGCAACTTTATCGCCGTTATGCCAGTGATATATCCTTAAGGAAAGAGTAAGATACCACAATTCCACTATCATGGCAACAATTTAACCGGACCGATTTGTCAGTCAATTCAGGAAACGAAGCTGAAAGCGGAAGCAAATTTCAACTTCTTGGCGTGCATCTGTGGAGTCGGTCGG